TGTTTTCTCTCAGTGATTGTGCTGTTATGTTAAATGTTTGTTGTTTATTTTTCATGTATTGTGTCTCAATATCTGTCTATGCTGATGTTACACATGGAGCTGCTGTGATGCAAGTCACATTTCAGACTTGATCTGACCATTAAAGTATTATCGTATCGTATTAAATAGATTTTAATTTTCAAAAGCAACCAGTCAAGTTATTTAACCAAGATGTGGGCAAAAATAAACCAAATCACTTCAGTTTTTGGCCACATGGGGGCAGCGTTTCATATAATACTGCATATTGTCATTTGACCCTAGTTACATTTGAAATACATAAAATATATGAAAGTATGGATAAGTGAAGGTTAAAGACATGCATTAATGGGCTTGCACATGTGTCCTGGTATAATTCTCTAATGAAAATAAAACATTATGAATCAAAACAGAGAAAGAACTGTTCTACTTCTCTACTTAGACTCTTTGTACAAATTGAGTATACAGAACATACAAATCAGCATGACTCAACAGGTTGAGTTTTGTTGATGTACTTTCCAAGTTTTTCTAAATGGAAAATCCACTTTGTACAAGCACTAGTTACATTATATAAATAAAGAAAATGCAGTTTTGTCCCCCTTAATTCCATCAAGTGTTGTTTAAAGAACACTTTAAAATCTCAGCTGTTCACAGATGCGGTTTTGTATTTCATAGTTTTAATTTTGTACTTAACTTGTGACATTTATATTCACTTGTTAATATGTTCAGATGAAGTTTTGGGATTTGCAAACTACATAGCATAATTGGTTTTTGCCTTGTTATATTTTTTTAGTGAACAAAGCAGGCTGTATGTGTGTACATTTCCTCTCTCTCTCTCTGTGTGTGTGTGTGTGTGTGTGTGTGTGTGTGTGTGTGTGTGTGTGAGAATGACGCATCCGATGCGTCATTCTCACACACACACACACACACACACACACACACACACACACACACACACACACACACACACACACACACACACACACACACAGAGAGAGAGAGAGGAAATGTACACACATACAGCCTGCTTTGTTCACTAAAAAAAACTGTTTCCATGGGAACAGCACACCTAGGCGCACAGAGAGCCAGACAGGAGGTTGCTTTACTTAACCCTCGTAAACAGTCGTCGCTGAGAACAAATCTCCCAGGTAAAAAAATATAACAAGGCAAAACCAATTATGCTATGTAGTTTGCAAATCCCAAAACTTCATCTGAACATATTAACAAGTGAATATAAATGTCACAAGTTAAGTACAAAATTAAAAC